AAAAGCTCCTTTAGTAGTATTTTCATGAAGAGTTTCAGTTGTATCTTTCAGGTTAATTGGTGTCTTTACTTCTTTGCAGTTCTTCATATTGAATCTTTCAAGAATTTGTTTTGCATACTTTTCTTGACTGATTAAAATTCCGTCCCTGTTAGGTTTGATCTCCATCCCTATATAAACTGTTGGATTTGGACTGATCGTCATCTCAAATTCATCTTCAAGTTGCTTTAGTAGGTTTGCAATTTTTCCTTCATTTTTACCAATCAAAATACCATCATCTACATGGATAGCTAAGTAGAGATCGTTATTGAGATTCTTAAAAATACACTGATCTGACTTCAGTTGTGTCAATCCTTGACTTTTAAGAAATGAAGTAAATTTCTTGTTCCACAAGCATGGTGCCTGTTTTAAACCATACAATGAGTTATTTAGTTTACAGACTTGACCTTGTTCTTCAAAACCTTCTGGTATCAACATATATACGTCTTCTTCCATTAGACTATATAGAAATGCTGTTTTTATGTCAAATGTTTGTATATGCATGTTTTCTTGTGCTGCTATAGCAAGAAGTAATCTTAGTGAAGTACTGTCCACTACAGGACTAAATGTATCTTTGAAATCTATTTTCCCTTTTTGCTGACATCATTTAACAACAAGTCTCGCCTTATAGGTTCCATCATCTTTGACTTTGAAAATCCATTGAGTTGTTAAAATTTGCTTTCCTAAAGTTTCTTTTCTGTCAACAATTTCCCAAGTTTCATTTTTCTTCAGAGATTCTTTTTCATTATTTATTGCAATTTTCCATTTTTCTTTTTCATCTCCATTGATACATTCATTGTACGTCAAGAATGCGTTAAGATCGTAGTCTTCATATCTGACGGGTCTTTTTATGTTGTTTCTTTGTCGAAGATTATATCTTTCGTTTCTTATTCCAGGTTCTTCTTCATCAGTATGTCCATTTTCGTCTTGATATAGGTCTTCTGGTTCCTGTTCATGTTCTTCTTCGTGTTCAGGTATAGTGTCTTCTTCTTCTTCTAGTTCTTCACTTTCATCTAGTACAGCTTCTTCTTTAACGTCTTGTCGATCATCGGTTTTAGGTTTAGTAGTAACACTGTTCTTTACAAAAATCACATCTCTTGAAATGATTATCTTTCTTTTCTCTTCATCCCACATTCGGTATCCATTTAAAGCATAACCAACAAATATCATTTTCTTGCTTCTTTTGTCGAGTTTCTTTAGTCGACCTAGTGTCTTACAGTATGCTTCCGTTCCGAATGCTTGTAGTGTAGAGAGATCTGGTTTCTTGTTATACCATTTTTCAGCTGGAGTTCTATCAACAGTTATAGATGGGCTTCTATTTAACAGATATGCAGCTGTTAACACTGCCTCTCCCCACATGTCTTTTGACAGATTTGTATCAAAGAGCATTGCTCTAGCTTTATTTAACAGAGTTCTGTTCATTCGTTCTGCAGTTCCGTTCAGTTGTGGTGTATGAGGAATAGTGTAATCCAGCACAATCCCTTTTTCCTTGCACCATTTTTTTAGGTTTGTCGAAACATATTCGCCTCCATTGTCACATCTTATTTTTTGTGCTTTAAGGTTAAAGTATGCTTCTGCTTCATTGATGTATTCTTTAATGTATTGATTGGCTTCATCTTTAGTTTTCAATAAATATACTTTACAAAAATGAGTATAATCATCAATGCAAGTAAGGAAGTAACTTTTTCCGTCATGTGTAGAGGGTTCTATTTTTCCACACACATCTGAATGGATTATATGTAAGGGCTTTGATCCTCGTTCCCTAACAGTATTAAAAGGCAATCTGGTATGTTTTGCTTCAATGCAAGCTGTACAAAATATGTTCTCACATTTTGTTATATCAGATGGCATTCCACTTGACATTTTAGTTAGTTTCTTGATGCTCTCATTATTTAGGTGTCCTAACTTTTTATGCCATATTTTCATTAATTCACTAGAATTTTCTTGATTTTCGCCGTTGTCTTCTTGTTGACTGCTGTTATTTACCACCTCACCTGACTGAATTGTGACATTGCTGGTATTACCATTAGAGAGACTATTTTCACTACAAATGCTGCTTCTTAAATTGACTATATACAATCCCTGACTATTTTTATTACCTTCAAGTATCATTTCATCGTTTTTAATTACTTCTACTTTATTTTGAGTGAAGACAACTGTACCACCTTTTTCCATAATGGCATTTACAGACATTAATTTATTACTAAGTTCTGGTACGTAAGATACATTATTTAAAATACACTTGTCTGTTTCAATGCTACCAACACCCAGAGAAAACATTGACTGGTTTTTCTTAGCAACTGATATTTCCTGTTTGAACTCTTTCAGGTTATTTAAAATATTACTGCAGTTGGTCATATGGTTTGGGGTGCAACCACTGTCAACAACAAAAGCCTTGTTAACTTCACTTACTTCATTTATATGCTTAGGCATACTTGTTTCAAGGATTAGGCCTACCTGTTCCTCCTTAACCTTGGTCAGAAAAACAGTTTTATGGGTGTTTTTAGGATCTTTGTTATTGTTATTTTTACTAGACCTATCTCTAAAAAAACAATTCTTAGTATCATGGTTACTTTTCTTACAAATAGTACACATCATTGGCCTATTTTCCTTAACTTTATTTTTAAGATAACAGTTTGACTCATAATGGTTATTCTTTTTACAAAAAGAGCAAAACTTTTTACTATGACAATTCTTTTGAATGTGACCTAGCCTATCTTTTGCCAAGTGAAACATTTTACATTATTAGGCTTATTAAATTTAGTCATACCTTGTTCATATTGAGTAGAGCTAGCCTTAAAAACTGTACTTTCATTACCACTACTGCTGTCCATAGATTTCATCTTAGTTTCCTCTTGTACGAGTCGAGCTTTCAGATTTTCGAGTGTCCTTTCCATAGCTGATGTCGAGTCCCAGGCACTGTTGAAATGTCTGAAGCTTTCTGGTAGTATCGTCAGGATCTTCGTTATCACCATTGTGTCATCTATTTTCCGGTCGAGTTGGTTTAGTTTATAAGTTAGGTTCTGTATTAGGCAAAGATTACTCATCATATCAATTTCTCTATTGTACTTGAAGTTGTAAAAGTCCTGAAGTAATGCACATTTTTGGGTTTCAGTATCTTTTTGAAAAAGTCTTTTTAGTGTATGAAACATTTCATGGGCGTTTTTACAAGTTAAAATATGAGGTTTAATTTGGTTATCAATTGTTAGCAATATATAATGTTGAGCCTTGGCATCCTTTACCTTCCACTTTTTTATTTTTGATGCATCATCACCTTGTTTATCTAAGGTTTCAGTTCCGTCAACTACATCTATCAGTTCTCGTGCTTTGAACAACACACTAATCTCAAATTCCCACATAGCAAATGTTTCCACGTTTTTAAGTCTTTGAATAGTGTTATAATCATTTTCACTGGTCATTATTAGTAAATGTTGATATACTCACGCTAAGAGACAACTTCAAACTTTGTTCTTCTAGTTTTAGTTTTATGGCATTAAGGCCTGTTCTTACTTGGTTTCATTTTATGGCATTAGCAGTCCTGATTGTTATTTCTTAGTTTTATGGCATGAGCAGCCCTGGGTTGTTAATTTTTAGTTTTATGGCATGAGCAGTTCTGGGCCCATAACCTGAAAAGTTTTCTTACTTTTTATGTTTAAATAAATACTCACTTTTTTACAATTAAACAAAATTTAATTATTATTCACAAAACTAACACAACTTTCTTAAACACATTTTACTAATAGTTTTTTTTTACACCATTTTATTGTTATAATGTTATTCTAATAAGTTCATTACAGCTGTTCTTTTTCTAGTATAGGCAGGCTTAAACAAACATTTTATTTTTATATTATATTTAACAAATAGTACCCAAGCAATTATAATTTAAAATCCCGGCATTCTTTTAAAAACACCTTGTATTTATTTAAATATTTAAAAAACCAAATGTTTTAGTATAAAAAAAAACTTTACTGATTTGCTGTACAACAAAAAATCAGTTAAGAACGAAACAAAAGAAAGTCTAGACCAGTAACCTACTGAACTGCTACCGTAGCCATCATAGGCTACTGCTACATTATGTTTCAGAACAGAAGAATGTGGATAAAACATTGGATAACTTATAAAACAACAAAAAAAACAAAAAACAAATCATACTGTAGTACTGACTTACTGTTAGTAAGTCTTAAAGATAAAAACAGTTGTAAACTAAGATAAAGATAACAATGATGATGTAAAACACCACTTATTATTTCTTTTTGTGTTTATATCCTTTCTTTTGTTTCTCTTCATCCACACATTCAACAAGTTGCCATGGTTAGTAATCACCCAATCACAAACTGTTGTAACATAGCAAAAGCAAGCACACAACAGACAAATGTGTAAGTAGCAGACTATTGTCAGTGCAAGCGGATAGCTTGACCTTGAAGCTCTCAGTGGCCATTTCTTTTATTTCTTCCATTTATTTTTGTCATATGAACTGTGATGTTTCAAAAACAATAAAGGGGGAACCTACTGCATATAAAATGGTCAGAAATGGTTAAATATACAGTTCATTTCAACAACTGAAGAAACACAATATACAATTTTCTTGGGATTTTTTGAGGTTATGTAACATAATTTATGAGGCATCTATATACCACGGTTGAACCGCCGCCTGGTTGATCTGCCGCCCGGTTGATTCGCCCCCGGTTGATCCGCCCCCGGTAAATCAAGGTTCTTCTATATCTAATAATATTATCAGTTATAACCCATCAATTATGCTGTACATTTTATTTTACTATTTAAATAAAGCACAATACTATAGCATCGTTCAAGTCTTATTCAACTCTATTTAATTGGAGAAAAACTTACAGTAAACATACTTCTTCTGATAAAATCACTCAATAAGTTGTGTAATTGCAGCTGTAATTTGGCTAGATTACTGGATGCGCCTAATTGCCTAGACTGTACAATGATTATGATTACAGATTTATGAATCACTCATGTCAGCCGAACTGTGAGACTCAGAAGTGGACAGTGAATGGTGACACTCGTGTGGGACTATTTGCTCTGTTTGACATCGTAGCAGACACTGAGCTAGTCTTCAACTACAACCTAGAGAGTACGGGCAATGACAAGAAGCCTTGCATGTGTGGAGCACCCAACTGTAGTGGCTTCATTGGTGTCAAAGCTATCAAGGTAGCAGTCCCCCTCATATGAGTAATTTGAGGCCTTTCTTGCATGATTAGAATTTTATTTAAATTTTTAATCGTAGTTGCCCCATATAGTCCAATGCCATAGTTTATGTGAGAATAAATATGGGCAAAATATATTTTTTTGAGTGCATCTAAATTGCACAAATAAGACATTCTTTTCAATGCGTACACTCCAGAATTAAGCTTTTTTAATAATTTTTCAACATGTTTATTCCAACTTAGATGTTCATCTACATAGAGACCTAAAAGTTTGGCTTCAGAAAGTTGTTCTATTGATTCTGAATCAATGATCAAATTGGGTTCAAGTTTCTGTTTACTTTGTTTAGTCGAAAAGGACATAAAGTTTGTTTTTGTTGTATTAAGATTCAAATTATTATTTTTTAGAAATTGTTGTATATTATACAATTCTACAAACAGGCCGAAATTTCCAACTCATCTTTACTTTTCCCGCCACTGTTAAATTTGAGTCATCTGCATATATACAAATCTTACTCTTTTGAGGATTAACAATACTTTTAGGCAATTCTTTTATATAACATGAAAACAAAATTGGTCCCAAAATTGAACCCTGTGGCACCCCCCACTTAATTCTACGTTTATGAGAGTTAAATGTAGTTAAATAATTGTTTTTGTTTGATTTTATTTCAACAAATTGCATCGGACCATCCAAATAAGATTGAAACCATTTTAAGGGGACTCCCATTATTCCAAGACTTTCCAGTTTCTCTAGCAAAATTGAATGACAAACACTATCAAATGCTTTAGAGAGATCCATGTATATCCCTAGAACATTTTCACTGTTTTCAATTGATTCTACGATGGACTCAATGAAGTCAGTAGCTGCTGTTATTACTGATCTTCCATTTCTGAAACCATGTTGAGCAATATCAAATAACTTATTTGCTTCAAGATAATCTACCAATCTAATGTACATTGCTTTCTCATATACTTTTGATACAGCAGGGAGCAATGAAACAGGTATATAGTTAAATATTTCAGTAACCTCGTTTTTTTTATGTAATGGAATTACCTTTGCAATTTTTAGTTGATGTGGAAATAAGCCAGACGCAAAAGAGGAATTCACCAAATGTACAAGTGGCTTTACTAAAAGGTTTCCTACATATTTTAATAATTTAGTTGGTATATCATCATAACCACTAGACATTTTATTATTCTTAAGTGAACCAATAATTCTTTCCATTTCCTTATCATCTACAGGAGTGCACTTAAATATCCTACTTTCAAAAAGCCCTTTTGCTTTATTTACATCGTTAACTTTCTTAGTTGTTCCTCCACTTTTATCTAGAGGTTGCCTAACACTAAAGCTATCTACAACATCTATAAAGTAATTATTAAACATGTTTGCAACATAAGTAGGATTTTCAATTAGTTCATCATTCAGTCGAAGACTAATATTCTCTGGATGAGTAAGTGTTTTTTTTTTTTTTTGTTTGAAACTTCATTATTAATTATTCTCCATGTGGTTTTGTTAATGTTACTTGAATTATGAATTTGGAAATCAAAAAACTTCTGTTTACTCTCAGTAATTTGTTTATTTAATATTTTTTTTCTTTTATTTAGTTTAGAGAAAGTACATTAATTTTGTACTTTTCTAGCTATTCTACTCATTTTTATAATTTCCTGTTTTTCTTGTTTAATTTCTGGATTTATCCACGATTTCCTTGTGTTGTAAATTTTGACAAGTTTATTTTCAAAACATAAATTAAAATAGTAAATTAACGTTTTGTGAAAAATATTGTACTTTTCTGTTACCGGTGCTAAATAAACATCATTCGAGTTTTCCTTTTCCAGCATTTTATAAAATTGGAGCTTATTTTCTTCTGAGAATTGTCGGGATTTTTTAAAAATGTAATTGTTTTTTATACATTTATCTAAAATATTTATTTCTAAGATTTGTCCATCGTGATCTGAAAGCTCAGTTATGACTCCTGTGGTCTTTAATTCATGGGTTGGAATGTTTGTTAGAATGTTATCAATAGCCGTTACTGAGTTAGCTGTGACCCTTGTTGGAAAATTTACTAAAAATTTCAAACCATGAGATTTTAACAAATTATCAAAATCCTTGCTTTGTTTGCTGTGTACTAAAACATTTATATTAAAATCTCCTACTATTACCACCTTTTTGTTTTTTGATAACACATAGTCACATAGAATTCCTAATCGACTTAAAAATTCATTAACACTACTTGCAGGTGATCTATATATACCAACCAAAAGAATTTCATCCCCTACCAAAAAATATTTTGAACAACAGAACTCAAACACTTTTTCTTCCCTTAATATTTCAATATTAGCATAATTCACCTGCTTCCACTTTAAACCAAGTTTAGATAGTATCAAAACACCTCCACTTTTAAATTTTTCCTGAGAGTAATCTGAATTTATCATAAAACCGTTTAAATTAAATCTGCTCAGCTCATCAGATTTAAAATTCATTTTTATAGCCCCAGGATTGCGTAATATGACTAATAATGGTTAAAAACGTACCTTGTCAGACAATCCTTGACATGTTTTATAGTGTCGAAAATAAACTTGCTACATGTTTCGGTGGTTATTAAATTCCACCATCGTCAGGCACACAAAAGGATCCACTTCTTGAGGTGTCGTCAGAGTTGTTACATACATTTAACACGAACACAAAACACGAAACGATTAAATACACGGTAACAGATAGGCCTATCAACTTATGCACGTACATTGCCGCGGGCAGGACTGGAAGCAGACTGAACCAGGTTATTAAGGACCGACGTGGACTCTGGATTGTCGTCTGCGTTATCAACAGCTGATGTAGGACTACTGTAGTGACGGAGTAGAGTGTTGAAAATATAATGGGATTCATAATTGAGTTTTTCATTCAAAATTTGTGTGCTGTCCCTGGTTTTTAGGTCCTTATATATTTCAAACTCCTCCAAGGTATTTAATAAGTTTCCTTTCCCACAGTAATGTAGAATGTCGAGACCGTCATTTATATCCAACATATCATGGTTATTGTCAATAATGTGCTGAGCGAATTTGGATTTCTGCAATTTAAGTGTAGGGGCTGGTCGATGCTCTTTGTATCTTATTTTGAAAGCTCTCCCACTTTGTCCTACATAAGTGCTCGGGCAATCAGCACATTTTATGCGGTACACACCTGTCTTTTCGTATTTATCAACATGTGGGCGCTTGCCTTTAGATATGTTCTGCAGCCGATTTGTAGTTTTAAACGCTAGTTTAACACCATGTTTATTGAGATCTTTCTTCAAATAGTTGTTTATTTGGTGGTTGTATTCAACGCAGCAATACACTACTTTGTTATTATCATTATTTGCTGGCATGCGGCATGTATTTTCCTTTTTCTTTGCAACGATTTTGTCTACGATCTCAGATTTGTATCCATTAGCCACGGCAATGTGTTTTATTATATTAAGCTCTTTATTGTAGTTTTCTGGACTTAGTGGGACATTTAGTAGTCTGTAGACCATTGAGTTATAGGCTGCCAGTTTTTGAGAATATGGATGGTAAGATGTGCTATGGATGGTTTGGTCGGATGTCGTGGGTTTACGGTATATGCTATACTCCAATGTATTGTTGCGTTTTTCAAGAGTGAGGTCCAGAAAATTTATTTTGTTGTCTACTTCCTTTTCCACAGTAAATTTTAGGTTCGGCGACACAGAGTTTAAATATTGGTGTAGTAAATCAAGTTGACGGTTGTTGCCGTTAAATATTATAATAGTGTCGTCTACATATCTAAAGTATTTCACTATTCTATTTACATGTTTGTTTTTATCAGAAAAAATGAATTCATTTTCTATGTTATTTAAATAGATTTCTGACAGGATTCCCGAGAGAGGGGAGCCCATGGCAAGACCTTCATTTTGCTTGTAGAATTTTCCATTGAACGAAAAATAATTTTGGCCTAATATTTCCTTTAGGAGACATATTATTTCTTCTATGGCTTCAGGTAGGAGGCTTGAATTTTCTTGTAAGTTTTTAAAAACTAATTCGACAGTTTTGTCTATTGGAACGTTGGTATATAGGTTTGTAAAGTCAAACGATGCTAAAATATGGTGTTGCTGAATGTTGAGACTTTTAGTTTTTTCAATGAAATTATATGAATTTTTTAAGCTATAGTCATTTTTTAGGACAGTTTGTGTCCTAAGAATTTTCTCTAGGCGTTTAGCAAGTTTATAAGTTGGGGCAGTGGTGTAATTGACAAGAGGCCTGATAGGAACATTATCTTTGTGGATCTTAGGTAGTCCACTGAGTTTTGGAGCAGCAGGATTTATAGCTCTTAATTGTGAAATGTCATTATCAGTAAACAACACTTTACTCTGGTTCATTAGCTTCTTGATACGCCTCTGATAAGCAGCTGTAGGATCCTTAGATAGCGAGGAAATATTGTTGTTAGTAATGAACTCTTCTACTTTATTATTATATTGAGCCTCATTCATTACTATCGTTGTGTTTCCTTTATCAGCCTTACACAGGATTGCATTATTGGCTTTAAGTTTATTGTTTAGGCTTTTTAGAGCAACAATATCTTTCTTTTGAGACAAACTTAGTTTTGGTGTACATTGGTTATTTTTATTTAATTTTTCAGACATATTAAACCTAACGACATTCCTATCCTCCTCTTTGGCAATCATTTTTATAGCGCACTCAGCGTTTAATAAGACGTTAAAAAATGCATTTCTATTACGGTTAGGTAAGTTGTGTTTAAGACCCTTATCAAGCAACTGCATTTCATCGTTAGTGAACGATATCGTTGTTTTATTTATTGTTCTTGGGTAGAATTCAAAATCAAAGAGGATGGCATCTTCTTTAGTTTTTTGGTTGTTGATGAGATGAGTTAACTTTTTCTTTTGGTTGGATTTTTTATGTCTAATGAGTTCAGCCACTCATTAATAAAGTTGATTTGTCAATATCTAGAATCATTAGACATAAAAAATCCAACCAAAAGAAAAAGTTAACTCATCTCAT